TCATACATTATGCTTCAAAAAAAATATTCTAATGAGCTTCTATCTACTCATAGTACAATAAAATGGTTAAAAAAATATGCATTACATATTGTAAAATTAAAAAATATGCATTACACATTGTAAAATTTAAAAAAAATGCATTACATATTGTAAAATTAAAAAAATGCATTACATATTGTAAAATAAAAAAATGTATTACATATTTAAAAAACTTAAAAAGAATTATTCTAAGTAAACATACCTCAACTTCTTGAATGATTATGGAAGAATAGATAAATTTTGAATATTTAGTGAGAAAACAAGAGAAAGAATGTGAGATGTAGTTGAAGAGATTATGAATTTTGTGTACAAAGAAGGAGAAGATTTGATCAGTTGTAGTGGAATTGAAAGGAGTAGTAGTTGAAGTGATTAGATGTGAGAATAGGAAGAGGTGGAGTGTGAAATGGAGAAAGGGGGGAGGGGTCCTGCGCATGCACTGCGGATGCACTGTGCAACCCTATGCTTTTTGTAGTGTAGCAGCAAATTGGCTTTTGGAAAGCCAAAATTTTTTAAATTAAAAATAAAAAAAATTGGCTTTATGAAAGCCGAAAAACATTAAAAAAAATAAAAAAAACGGCATGTCAAAAGCCAAATTTCCTTCTCAGGAATTTAGCTTTCCCATTTGGGAATTAAGTTCAAAATTTTTTCCCTATTAGGGAAACCACCCGCAAGGGAAAGGAGGTGGAAGGTCAGGGGCCATCATTGATTAATGAGAGAAGAGGGAAGCACATGATTTTCGAAGAGTATGAAAAGGAATGGATATGGGATTCACATGAGGACATCATGCCATTATTCATGGCCCCACAATCATGGATGAAAACATCATGGGCCGATTCTCATGTCTCCCTTTTCCAAAGGGATAAGTTCAAGAGGAGCAAAAATATTGTATCCATGCCAAATTGATATACCCATCCCACTTTAATCCACTACAAATTTTAGAAGGAAGACTGGGACACAGACCCGGACCTGGCACGCTGGTTACTACACCGGTCTTGCTCAGTATAAAATAAAAAATAATAAACCCAAAAGAGGGGCCCGGAAGAGGGTATGTCTACAAGAGGGCTTAACCTGGAATAAGGTTCGAACCGTACTTACACGGGCACATGAGGTTTGACCTCTATCGGGGAATCAGCCGGTGCCGTCAAATTGATTGGGGACCAAAAGATGCCCATTAAAAGAAATAGAAAGGGATCGTCCACCGTGGCGCATCCTATTTCCCCCTTCTCAGGGAAGATTTGAACGGGGGGTGAGCTAAAGGCCTTCCCGGGATAGTAAATATCAAAGGGCCATTAAAAGACTTAATCACCCGGAAGAAGGGGCCCTGGAAGAAGGGTGCATTTTGGGCCTTGGAGAGGGCTCGAAACCATCCGACATCGTTAATTCTCCAATGTTGATCTAGCTCGCCCAGCAGCATTATCTTTTGGGAAGACTAAGACACAGGCCCGGTCTGGCACGCGGGTTACTACACCGGTCTTGCTCAGTATAATAAAGAAAATATATGACCAATAGAACCGGTACACTGGCCTCACACCGCTCTTACACATATTTTCTAATAAGCCTGAGCCCAATCGAATTGGGTACACCAAAAGTGAGCAAAGCTCATATCGGGGATGCCCAATTCATTTAAGCCCTCTATTTGAGGCACCTTGATCGAAGATGGTCTCCGCGAGACATGAAGATATTTACATCAGTCAGCCGGGCTAACACTGATCTTCAACAAAGCTACTACATCGTATTCAATTTTTATTAACTAACATCGATGTCGTCTGTATACTAATTTCGTCACGCCTCGTTTGCTTCACTCGTAATAACACTAGTCTCGGCGAAGTAACTATTTGAGGCACAGTCGCTTCATCGTACTAACTCCGGTGTCGTATAACTATTCGAAGCATCGTTGCTTTATCGAACTGACATCGCTCTCGTTACGATAATTATTCGCGCGAATTTTAATAACCTAACATCGAGCTCCTCGGTAAAGATAATAATTTTTGAGCACGGCATATGTCGGTCAAAAAAGAGAATGTTGTACATATTATTTTTATAGAAAAACCTTCTGATTTAAGAAATTAGAGAATTAATGAAGACTCGAAGGACTAGCACTAATATCAAACCAGTCAAGAATCCAAAGTATGAAGATCGAAGATAGCACTCGGAGGACTTGTTTACTTTTTCAAGTTGATGATTCTCACAACTTAAAAAAAGTAGAGGACTTCTTGATGGAAAATAATACGTGGCTCGGCCCACATTTCCCAATTATTTACAAAGAACAGTCAAACCAGGCCTGTTTAATAAAATAGAGGAATAAGAGAATATTCCTCCGTAGATGCTTCCACCCTTTCCTATAAAAGAGATGGTTGCCCTAATTGTTAAGGGGGGCCAATCAAACCCTTTTCCCTGCACAATTCTTTCTCTCTCTCACTAGAGTATTTATGTATTTTATTTCTTCAAAGGAGCTTCAAGCTTCCATTAATGGCTTTCGAGCCCAATTCATGTACCGTGTTCAACCCCCGATATTAATAAAAATCCCCCGTTGGTAAGGTACCGCCAAAAAAGGCCCGTGGTTTTCTCCCGATTTGGGTTTCCACGTAAAAATCCATGTGTTTATATTTTGGTGTGTTTTTTAGACTAGTTTATCGTTTTTACCGGTTAAAAACGATATACCAGTCGATAATTTATACCATCAGCAAGAGTGCAAGACTGCAATAAAATCCCTCATAATTTTAAGTTTATGCCACCCTGACGTCCCGTCACTTGTCAAGGCCAATTTAGACGAGTAACGGACACATCCAATCGAAACCTCTGGTTTACCTTAGTTAGTTTTCGTAAAAATAAAATATAATCCAAACAGGAATGAAAAGCAGTAGGAACACGGCCCTACGAGAACAGGTGAGTTCCATGTTTTTCGTGTTGCCAATGTTCGGATTATATTTTTTTAAAAAAAACTTAATCGGAACCTTGGAAACAATAAAAACATGGAACTCTCACGTTCCCGGAGGGCCATGTTCCCGTTGCTTCCCGGTCTTCCAATCCCTTTCCCATCTAGGCACACCCCTGGGTTGGGCCTAGAGATGAGCAAAAGGACCGATGCGGTCAGACTAGACCGGTCTTTGGTAAAGACTGCTACAGTAAAAGACTTGACCGGACTAGTCTTTTTAAAAACCCGGTCCTAACTAGTCCGGTCATCTTATCAAAATCAAAGACCAAATAAGACCACTAGTCCAATCTAGTCCGGTCGGTAGTCCAATCTAGTCCGGTCTCTAGTCCCAACATATTGGGTCAAGATTGTAGTTTTGCGATGTTGTGTCAAGATTACCAAATAGCCCATCAACTCTTTTTGCATCGGTCGAGATTGCATGTTGCACTTTGCTCGCTCACTCGCTGATTCTCTGAGGACATTTCTAGGGACTAGCTCTACTGCTCTAGGACAAAGTGTTGTGACGCTTGAGTTTATCTTGAAACTCTACGAAAATATTTAGGGGATAGTGAAAGCCGAGAAGTATTAATCATTTTTTATTTGTATTACTCTATATTATTTTTTTTAACATTTTTATACGTACTACTCCATATATACTACGGAGTACTTCCTATATACTCCGTAATTTACAAGTAATATAATTAGATTCTAGAGGACTAGTTTATGAACTAGTCCTAGTCTTTAGACCAATCTTTTACTAGTTTTAGACCAGTTCAGGTTTTTAACATGTCTTTTACTAGTCTTAGACTAGTCCTAGTCCTCTATAAATATTAAGAAACATTTGAGACTATTGGTCTTGGACTAGACTAGTCTCAAGGACTACTTCGATACCAATCATTCAAGTCCAAATCTCAGTCGGTTTCGGTCAATCTTTTTGGTCCCCCTCTTGATGCTTTCTCTAGGTGGGCCTTAAAAAGAAAAGTAAACAGTGATTTTTCTTTTAATTATTTCAAGAGTTTGAGCTCAATTGAAAAGGTCTCACAACCCTAACAGCCATTATCAAATTCTCAAGAGTTTGCGCTCGATTTTTCCAGAAATTTTTCATTGGAGAGGTTTCCTTCTGTGTGATTGTAATCTCTTCCCTCTAGACTGTGAAGGGATGGCGGAAGTTTCTGGTGCAAAGTTAAAGTCTGTGCCTCTGACTCTGGAAAGCGAGCCTCTCTCCCGGTAATCTATCCAATTTTCCATGTCCTATGAAACATTCTTTTTCGTTTCGATCTTAATTTTCAATTGATTGATTTTCGATTGATTGATTATTTTTTTGAGATCATCTGCCATTTGTTTGCGTTCCTATTGCGAACGTATCAAACAAACATCTGGTTTCTATTTTTGTAACCTCGTAATTTGTTTTATTGCTTAATTGCTTTTTTTGATTTGGCACAAAGCAATTAGTACTCCGTGTTGATATCATTTTCCGTCCTCTTTTGGTGACCAGAAATTAGTACTCCGTGTTAATATTTTGATCTGGTTTCGTCCAAAAGAGAATAGGTTTAGATCTAGTCTTTGATCCGTGGTTTTGTTAAATTCAGTCTTTACGTCTAGACCTGAATTTTGATCTCCTTTTAATGGATATTTTAATTTGTTTAATTTAAAATATTTTTGCATTAAGTACTTTTTTCCAACAATTCAAAAGAAAAATTGTTTCACATTAGTCTTTATGGTTATATATCAAAGTAGTCCCTGTTGCAAGTTACAAATTAAAGACAAAATATGAAGATATTAATTGAGCAAAGTAATTACGAAATACTCCGTATACTTTTATTCAGTGTGATTGGTCTAGACGAGTTCAGTTCTTAATAATTTGTTTAAAACAATGCTAGGTTCACAAACAGAATGACCACAAACTTCACAAATTTACCACTCCAACGGGCAATCAATGTAAAAATATTAACATGTTGGCCTGGGCGGCCCAGTAGTTCAGTTTTGACTACGTGTTTGGATATCTTATCCCTTTATAAATACAAGGATTATGCTATGTGTACCCCAAGATTTGTACCCCAATTTGTATCTCGCAGTTTTGCACCAACATTTTGTGTTGGTGTAAAACTAATTTTTGTTAAACGCACCAACATTTGTGTCCGTGTGAATTTTTATTAACGCACCAACACTTGTGGCGGTGTAAACCATCGAAATATTTATGCAAACCTGTGGTGTACAAATGGGGTATATTTGTTGGTCTAAGTGTAGCATGGTCCTAAATACAACCACAAGTCGCGTGCGCGCGGAGAGGGTCGATTGATTTTCTCTTTGTATCTCTTCCGTCCCGTCCCTGTAGACAGACTGCTGTGTGTGGTGAAGGCATGGTGAAAGCTTCGGGTGGGAAGCGAAAGTGTCTGCCTCCTCCGACCCTGGAAAGCGGGCCTCAGTCCAGGTAATCGATCTGATATTCCCTTTTCCAATTGGAAAATTCTCTTTCGTTCGTTTCGACCTTGGATTTCGGATTGATTTATTCGTTTCGTAGATCATCTTCCATTTCTTCTTCTCTGCACGAAATTGATTTGTTTGGTTCCTTACCCTAGATTTGTTTGATTTTGTGTGCAAAGCCTATGCCTTTTGCTTCAAAATTACATACATATAAATATAACTTTGTGTCCTCTTTTCCGTGACCAGAAATTTACCAGACGAAGTAGAAAAGGAGCTTCTGGAGGGGTTACTACATCCCCACACCAAAGTTACTGATGAAGATAAAAAAATGTACATGTCCCTCCTACGTCCAGAGCTTCCTGTGGAACCTCCTGCTCCTGTGTTGCAGAAGAAGCCTAAGCGTCAACGTATAGTTCAAATACGCACTGTTCCCGATTTCCTTCGTGATCCAGTTCTTGATCACAGGCCAAAGCCTGAACCGACATACCTCAAAAACAGAAGAGAGTAACGTCCCTGAACCATTGTTTCTAATCACTTTCCCAACTTCTCACACACGCACGCACGCACACGCACACACAAAATGTTTGCAAATCCTAATTTGTGATGTAGTGGGGTGAGGGGTGACATGCCTCTCTTGAGCTATAATTAATGACTTTCCCCCTTTGTTTTGAAAACCTCAAATGTGAGTACCACCCTCAAACTCATCACTTCCCCCCAGCGTCTCAATCTCCACCCACTCACACACCCATCCATCCATAAAATGTTCTTAAACCTTGATTTGTGCTGTAGTTTGGTGGCATGCCTCAGTTTATGACTTTCACTATCTTATTTTATGACATGTCTATCATTTTGTGTGCACATTTGAAAACAACGTACGCACATAACACCCTCAAACCAGTAGTTGTTTCTCATCACTTTGCAGTTTGCACCCACCCACAAAATGCTCCCAATTCGTAATTCGTGATGTTGGGCGACATCTCTGCTTGTAGCCTTATAAGTTTATGGTTTTTTGTAGTTTGAATGAGAAAGCTAAGGTGTAAACTGGTTGGTTCTTGATTAGTTCAATAGTGATTGCTTCATTGCTCTTGATGAATTTTTCCATTCAGCATTTATTCTACAAGTATTAATGATTTCCAAATCCTTATCACATACAATCACTTTGTAACCTTCTTTTTATTGGGTGTGTGAGTTTGTAATGCTTCTGTTGATGATGTCCAAATATGGAGTTGGATCTTTGTTTTGGTGACCAGGCAAAATGACCCAAATCCTTGGGAGAAGACAAGCGGGTTCACTCAAAAAGAACTACGACAAAGGAACCTGCACCTGCGATGGGCATTGGCTGCTCTTTCTCGCTACAACAGGAGACATGTACTAAGCATGATGATTTTTAAAACTTAGTCTATTTATATTGTGCTGTCTTCTTTTTTCGTCCTTTTTTTTGTTGGCATCTTATGTCACCCACTCATCAGCAGGTATGATTTCTTGGCTCTTGCAGGGTACAAATTATAAGCTTGTGGAAGTCATCAACTGCAATGGGTTTCTTCTTCCTGTATACAAGATCTGGGTTCATTGTGCTTTCAAAGCTGCAACTGAAACATCTAATGTTCCAGAGCTCTTTTTTGCTGAATTTTACCAATACGAGCTTCAGAAGGATCATTTCCAGAGTGTGACTCGTATTACCAGTCGTGAGAACTTTTAAACTTTTTTCTTAGTCTATACATCACCACATTACAGAGCATTGCTATGTTCATTTGCAAGCATCGTGAAAAGGTTTGATTTGTTTTGCAGGCATCAAGACTACATGTGATGACTGCCGATATTGCGAAGGGAAGGGGATTCCTCATCCAGTCAACAAATTCACCGAAGGGCAGAAGTACTATGAGGGACCTATTTTACGCACAAGGCGGCTCACTTAATCTGTTAGGATTGTCTCGTCCAATGTCTGGGTGAATCAATGGATGCTACTTTGTGTGTGTGTGTTTTTGTTGCTGTGGGTCTTCCTTGGTGAGAAGCTATTTATTACAAATACATTCCCTTTTGAATGTCCCTGTTAAGTGTTCCGATGGGGTTAACTAACATTGAACGGATTAGTATTTATGTTCTTGGAGTATTTCTAATTCTCAATTATCAGAACACTAGCAACTCTCAACTTTGAAGATGAGTTACGCAATACTTTAATTAAGAATTAAAAGCCTTCATTTTTCAAAGTACTAAAAAAGTCTTTACTTATTTGCATATGCTTTTCAACAATTTTATGCTGTATTGGGAACTACTCGCACAAAGTGCGAATAAAGCTTTTGTGTGTGTGTAACTCTAAAATGACACAGGTGTTATTGGTGTTATTTGCTTACATCAGTTTGTTTGGAGTACTTACGGTGCATGTTTGTAAATGTGACGATTCTTATCTCCTCTAACCCTCCACTAATTTTAAGTTTAATTTGGAAGGAATCTAGATCCAATTAGATCAAATGAGACCAAAACTTCAAAAAATCATTGTAAGGTTAGTTCAACAACTTATAATTATAGGCTAAAATGTAATATTATGAATTTATAACCCACTCACTTGATAATANCTCTAAAATGACACAGGTGTTATTGGTGTTATTTGCTTACATCAGTTTGTTTGGAGTACTTACGGTGCATGTTTGTAAATGTGACGATTCTTATCTCCTCTAACCCTCCACTAATTTTAAGTTTAATTTGGAAGGAATCTAGATCCAATTAGATCAAATGAGACCAAAACTTCAAAAAATCATTGTAAGGTTAGTTCAACAACTTATAATTATAGGCTAAAATGTAATATTATGAATTTATAACCCACTCACTTGATAATAATTTGATAACAGTTGGGAGGTTTATGACTCTGTTATGATGCTAGTATTCTTTCATTGAATATCATTGGTGTCACAATTACAAAGATGCATATCAGTTTTCAAGAAAGACACAGTGTTTACCCCTTGGTTTGTGAAACTAGGTCGTAGCATACCATGAAACCCCGGTCCACCCCTTGGTTTCACATTACTTCACAATCACGTAATGTGTTGTTTCTCCTTCAGTTGTTTTATACTATGTTTGGTTTAAAAAATTTGGTTGGAAAAGAAAAGAAAATGATTTTCCCCATTTTTCTCACTAAAATAGGAGGAATTTGGGTTTTCTTCCTTTTAGTATATATATTTTGCCTTCTCTCTTTCTTTTCCCTCCACGTTTCTTTTCTTTTCCTCTCTAACCAAACAAGAAAAATATTTTCCTCCTAATTTTCTTTTCTTTTGCATTTCAAATTTTTTGAACAAAACATAGTGTTAATTTCTTCTTTTTTTTGAATAAAAAAAAGAAATTAACACTATGTTTAGTTTCCTCCTTTTTTTCAATTTTTTGTTTAGTTTTTCTTGTTTAGTTGCTTTCTCCTTTTTTCAGTTTTGTTCGCTGAGTTGCTCTCTTCTATTTGAATTTTTCTTCTATGTAATTATGAAATATGTATTTAAGCTTCAATATTTTTACAGATTTTAATAGTATATAATATAAGAGATGTTTAAAAAATTGTTTAATTTCTTTATATAAAACTAGATTGAATTTAAACTGAATAGAAATATGTAAATATTAAATAAAAATTAAAATTTAGTCATTGTAATAGAATTGAGGCACTACGGGTATGAATTGAGTAAGATGGTGAGTATTGTCAATGCTGATGTGACGATGAGTGGCTATTGATTTTGAAGCGAGAAGTAGTGAAGCACCATGGATAATCTTATCCATACAAATTCTTCATTATAACTCCTATCATAATTAAAGGGATGTGAAAGATTTTCATAAAGGAACCACCGGTGGATGTTTTATTTTCGACTTACCATTAAGTATGTGATAATCCAGAGTTCGAAGGAGAGATTTATACAATACACTCACTTATAGCCAATTAGAAACTGATCCTCCAGAGGGGTACCAATTTCCAGGTACGTTGTTCATTTAGTGATGTAAACTCCTCATCCAAAGCTTGATACCAAAAACTATTACAAAAAACTTGGTTACATGTGGTAGGTTCAATAGTAGGATGGGTAGATTCAAGAGTGATGGAAGTATAGAATTGTGGTTTGACGATGTCAGATTTGGCTCAGGTTTGCATATGATGAGTATTTGTGGGTGGTGTTGGAGTTTGGGTGTCGTGACGGTCGATTGTGGGAGAGTGACGACTCATAGGTTGGACTGCTTGGAAGGGTTCAGCAGTAGGGAATAAAGATGATCGACTGTGGTGGAGGGAACGCTTGAGTGGATTGACCACTTGTAAGGATTCAAAGAGAGTGGTTGTAGAAGATCGACCGCAGGTGGGATGATGAGGAAGCTACTCGACTGTCTAGGAGGTAGATTCAATGGAGACAATGTGTAGAGAGGGTGGTACCTGAGCATGTGAGCATGAATGATTAGAATAGAGAGGAATAATGGCTAGAGATTTGGAGAAAGGTTAGATTACAAAGAAGTGTGGAGTAAGAAAGTGATCTTTTAACAAAACGAACGTGATGGGACACATATGTTCTTTGTGAAACTAGGTCGTAGCATTTGTAACCTTTCATGGTGGGATGATATTCAAGAAAGACATAAGGGGTGGACCGGGGTTAATGTTTGTGATAAGTGTGAGGTTGAAGGCAGGGATTCACGAGGTAACCAAAGGGATGTAGGTGGACATAATAAGGGAGGTGACCATATAAAGCTTTAACGGGTGATTTATTTTCCAGATTTTTTGTTGAAAAATAGTTGATAAGATGGTTAGCCGTAACAAGAGCATCGACCTAGAATAGAGCAAGCAGATGGGAGTCATAGAGCAACGTAGCGACATTCTCAATTAGGTGACATGTTTGCGCTCAATGATCCACTCTACATACGAGTATAAGTGTAACACCCTAACCTGCATAACCCGAATTCACGAGTTAGCAAAAGAGTTGTTACCATTCCGGTATCCAAACACACACTAATTTCAAAATAATTTAAAACATCCAAACAATTCTTGATTTAAAACCCAACATCGGAGTAAAACAAAACAGTGCAAAAACTTAATAATTAAAATTTCACAAGTTGGGGCCAACCTCTGCCAAAGTAAAAGAAACTTCACAAAGGAATTGTGTCCTTCAAATTTAAAGGTAATGGACTCCGCTATTTCTTTCTCTCCACAAAATCCATCCCTATACTACAACAAAGCCATGTCCATTTTTTCACTTAATGAGAGGGACCCTAGTTCTCTACCATAAAAATAAAGGGGTATATAAAAAAAGGGGGAGAATGCTTCTAAAAATGCTTCAAAATAAAGGGGGAGAATGGAAATGGTTCACACTATATAAAAATATTTCTCCCTCTGTCCTAAAACTATCTTCCCACTTCCTCTTTTTCTCCGTCCTAAAACTACCTTCCCATTAGAAAAAAAGATGGCAAATGATATTAATATCTCATGTATTTACACCAATTATCTTCTAACTCTATATTTTGAACGATTGCAAAAAAAATTCAAAAAATCTTTTTTAAGGAGTGTAAAGTTTGAAGTCAAAGCCAAAAATTAAAAATAGGGAAAAGTCAAACTGGGAAGAAAGAATTAGGACGGAGGGAGTATCAAATTAAAAGTGTAGGTTATAAACATGCCCCACCAATATACTCCCTCAATATAAGCCCTGCAAAGAGTGACTCAAGTGCTCAACTAGCCATTTACACTTTACCTCATATAACTAAAACCACAAACATACCCCATCAATTCATTCTATTCCAAACATCATAAACTCCATCCTAAAGGAAAAAAAACCAACACCCGCATAAGCTACAATTTCTTTTAAGGTGAACATGCAAATATTCCTGAAGAAGTAATTAAGGAGGGGATGCTAATCAAGAACTATGAATGTAAGAATACTAGCATCATAACAGAGTCATAAACCTCCCAACTGTTATCAAAGTATTATCAAGTGAGTGGGTTATAAATTCATAATATTACATTTTAGCCTATAATTATAAGTTGTTGAACTAACCTTACAATGATTTTTTGAAGTTTTGGTCTCATTTGATCTAATTGGATCTAGATTCCTTCCAAATTAAACTTAAAATTAGTGGAGGGTTAGAGGAGATAAGAATCGTCACATTTACAAACATGCACTAATTGGATCTAGATTCCTTCTAATTGGTCTCTTCTGTTTTTGAGGTATGAAAGGGCTCTGGGCGTAGGAGGGACATGTACATTTTTTTATCTTCATCAGTAACTTTGGTGTGGGGATGTAGTAACCCCTCCAGAAGCTCCTTTTCTACTTCGCCTGGTAAATTTCTGGTCACGGAAAAGAGGACACAAAGTTATATTTATATGTATGTAATTTTGAAGCAAAAGGCATAGGCTTTGCGCGCAAAATCAAACAAATCTAGGGTAAGGAACCAAACAAATCAATTTCGTGCAGAGAAGAAGAAATGGAAGATGATCTACGAAACGAATAAATCAATCCGAAATCCAAGGTCGAAACGAACGGAAGAGAATTTTCCAATTGGAAAAGGGAAAATCAGATCGATTACCTGGACTGAGGCCCGCTTTCCAGGGTCGGAGGAGGCAGACACTTTCGCTTCCCACCCGAAGCTTTCACCATGCCTTCACCACACANTAGGCTTTGCGCGCAAAATCAAACAAATCTAGGGTAAGGAACCAAACAAATCAATTTCGTGCAGAGAAGAAGAAATGGAAGATGATCTACGAAACGAATAAATCAATCCGAAATCCAAGGTCGAAACGAACGGAAGAGAATTTTCCAATTGGAAAAGGGAAAATCAGATCGATTACCTGGACTGAGGCCCGCTTTCCAGGGTCGGAGGAGGCAGACACTTTCGCTTCCCACCCGAAGCTTTCACCATGCCTTCACCACACAGAGCAGTCTGTCTACAGGGACGGGACGGAAGAGATACAAAGAGAAAATCAATCGACCCTCTCCGCGCTCACGCGAATCGTGGTTGTATTTATAAAGGGATAAGATATCCAAATATGTAGTCAAAACTGAACTACTGGGCCGCCCAGGCCGACATGTTACTGTAATATTTTTACATTGATGGCCCATTACAGTAGTAAATATCTATCTATTCCTCTCAATCTCCATCTATTCTTGGAAAATGTCTTGCTATAATTGCATCCGTGCTTTCCCCATTTTATGGAGTTTGAGCAGGGGGGTCGGTCTCTTGGAAACAACCTTTCTACTTTTGGGTCTGTGTTCACAATCAGATATTACTTATTTTGAAGTAAAGTAGGTTTACAAGCCCTAATATAGTAACCTAGTCTATTCCCGATTCGCCCAGCCTACATCTAGATCAAGTCTAGTCATCAACATCTTCCAATACATTTGAGTCACTTGAGTTGTGACCTGAGAGCACTCAAATTATACGGTATTGTCAGGTGTACGATTTTTTCCAGTGCAATCAGAGAGTAGGCCGGAGGAAGGAGAGGCGCACCAAAGAAGGAGGGGTTGACAATCACAGAGGGGGAGGTCGGTGCAGAATCCACACGTTTAGGAGGCATCCACAACCGACATGTGAAGGTTGTGGCGGCCGCAAAATGATTGATTGCGAATTTGCACCGACGAAGAAGAACAGTACGTAATATAGGATGTTGGTTCGATCTAGTCCAAACACAAAATAATTTTGGTATGAATTGATTGGACATTATATTCTATTGGACATAAAAGATCTAAACATCAAAACTCTACTTTCTCTACCTGATATTGCATGTTAATGTTTCTTTTGATTCATATTTTAATTTATTTAATTAACAAGATGTTTGTACTATCTCTCTTTCAGACCTACATCCGGTATTGCACGCTATGATTCTTTCTCATATGGTAGTTTCTCAAATTGATTCTTAATAATTTATAATTACCAACATAGTCCTTTATAATTGAGAAGTATTCCTTAAACAGTCTTCTATCAAAAATACCTATTTCATAACAGTTAAATTAAGAATATTTTTGTATTTTTTATCATTTAAATTATGACTAAACTTTCAAAATGGTCCTTACAAATTAATTGGGTGGCTGCTAAAAGAATGAGCCCACCTCAAGTACTAGGCTCATGGTATGTATATCGGGAAAACAATTATTTGGAAATTATCATTTAAGAAAAAATTTTAATTATGAAGGAGTATTTCAAGAACATATTTTAAATATAGATGATAGAAAATACTAAAATACATTTTATTTGATAGTCATTTAATAGACATTTACAGAAGAAGACTATTTAAGGAATGCATCTCAATTATAAAGGATTATACTGGTAATTATTACTTATTGTGGGCTAATTTGAGAAAACATCTTATTAGAAAGGGCCATTTTGAGAACTTATTCTTTAATTAACAAGATTTTTATATTATCTCTGTCCTAGATTTAATATTCAAATTTTACCTTTTGTACTTATTCGAGTCAAGCTCGACGTATTTTGAACATCAATTTACTAAAAAAATGACTTTACTATTTTAACATGTATAGAACTTTCAAAATTTTATTACATTGTATTAATATGCAATGCATATGGAGAGTAATTGATGATTAAAGTTTTCCTAGTTTGACTCAAGGAAATCAAACTGGAAGAATACTCTGAGATTGAGAGAGTATTACTCCCTCCGTCCCAAAATATTCACAACATTTGCTTTTTCAGTAGTGTCGGAAACTTTTGTTTATTTCGACATTTTCATTGATTATTTGATAAAATAAAATATTTTTGACACCTCTTATTTCAAAGAACTTTTCATGTAGTTTTTTAATATGTAAATTTTATTTTTTATTTCTTTACCAATATGTAAATAAAATGAATTGAAAAAACTTGATATTTTGCCTCAGGAATACAAATGTGGCAAATAATTTGGAACGGAGGGAGTATGTACTTTTTTCTAATAATTCAAAGGGGCAATTAATAGATCAAAATAACTACAAAATAAATTTTTATTTAGCCCAATTGATTCAGTCTTGAATATTTTGATCAGGTTTTGTCCAAAAGAGAATAGGTTTAGATCCGATCTTTGATCTGTGATTTTGTTAAATTCAATCTTTATGTCTAGACCTAAATTTTGATCTTCTTTTTGTGGATATTTTAAATTGTTTAATAATTTTTTTTTTTGTATTCAGTAATTTGTTTCCAACAAATCAAACAAAAGATCGTTTCACGCAAGTCTTTATGATTATATATCAAAGTAGTCCTTGTTGCACATTACAAATTAAGATTGATAAAATATGGAGTAATTAATAGAACAAAATAATTACGAAATATATTTTCTCTTTGTCCGACCAGTCCAGACGAGTTCAGTCCTTAATAATTTTGTCCGATTTGATCCAAAAATTAATAGATTTGGTTCAATCTTCGATTTTTGTGATTTTGTTCTTTTCATTCATCTGTCCAATTCAGTCCACAGCCCTATTCATTATCAAGCTATGAGCCTTATTTAGGTGGAGAAACAAACTGAAGGATTATCCAAATTAATCTTTTGTTGGGATTATGAGAGGAAATGAAAGGGAAAAAAATGATAAGAAAGAAAATTAAAAGATGAAAAAATGGAAAGAAAAATATTGTCTCGATTATTTGAAAATGATGTAAAATAATGAGAAAAGAAGGAAAAAAACATTTCTAAGTAGGTCCCATTATTTTATCCACTTTTCTTATCATATTCTTTCCACAAAAAAGAAGAGCATTGAAGTATGCATTTTCTCACCTCCAATTTTACAGTCCTCTCTTTCAGAAGGGGAAAAAAAAAGAAGAAAAAGATGATAGAGGTATGGAAATATGATAAAAGTCCAAAAAGATACGGAGTACAATATATAATGGTTAATCCCATCAGTAAGATGGATATTCAAAGTCAACATTTGTAGTAATAAATACATTCAGCAATGAGGATGCACAATTTTTTTTAGTAACAAAAAACAAACATAGTAATTAACACTGGCATCCATTGGTTCAGCAGACATGATGAACGAGAGAATGGTAACATTTTAAGTAAGCCGCCTCCTTCTACGTAAAATGGGTCCCTCATAGTGGATCTGCCCTTCGATGAATTTGTTGACAGTATGAGGAATCCCTTTCCCCTTGCAATATCGGCAGTCATCACATGTAGTCTTGATACCTGCAAACAATCCAAACGATAGTATGAAGACAACAATGTTCTGTTACGTGGTGATCTATATAGGCTAAGAACGAACAATGTTTAGAAGTTCTCACGATTGGTAATTCGAGTAACACTCAGGAAGTGATACTTTTGAAGCTCGTATTGGTAAAATTCAGCAAAAAAGAGTTCTGGCACAGAAGAAGTTTCGGTTGCAGCTTTGAAAGCACAATGAATCCATGTCTTGCATCCAGGAAGTAGAAACGCATTGCAGTTAATGACTTCCACAAGCTTATAATGTGTAGACTGCAAGAGCCAAGAAACCATACCTACTTCGATAAGTGGGCAATATAAGATGCAAACAAAAAAGGGAAGAAAAAAAAAAAGAAGAGAGCACAATTTAAAAAGACAAAGTTTTGCAAATGATCATGCTTGGTACATGTCTCCGGTTGAAGCGAGCAAGAGGAGCCAATGCCCATCGCAAGTGCAGGTTCCTGCGTTGTAGTTCTTTTTGAGTGAGCCCGCTTGTCTTCTCCCAAGGGTTTGGGTCATTTTGCCTGGTCACCAAAACAAAGATCCAACTCCATATTTGGACATCATCCACAGAAGCATTACACACTCACACACCCAATTAATAAAAGAAGGTTCCATAGTGATTGTATGTAATTAGGATTTGGACAAATTGATAATTGTGGAATAAATGCTCAACTGAATATTAACTATCCGTGATTGCATATGAACATTAAATTGCTCATAACAGAACAGGGTGGATACTGAAAATAATTCAGCAAGAGCAATAAAGTAATCAATGTTGAACTACTCAACAATTTAGCCTTCTCATTCAAAAGAAAAACTCATTATAATTGAATGCAAAGATCATAAACTTAAAAGGCTTCAAGTAGGCATGTCACCCAACCGCATCACAAATTATGAATTGGGTGCATTTTGTCGGTGGGTGGTTGAGTTGGTGTAAGCTGCAAAGTGAATAGAAACAGAAATGGTTCGAGTGTGTTCCTTGCGTACAGCGTTTTCTAATGTGCTCACAAAATGATATATGTCATAAATTAAGAAAGTGAAAGTCATAAACTAAGACATGTCACCAAACTACACCACAAATTAAATTCTGCGGTTTCGAACGCGCACATGGAGAGACAGGCATGCCATAAATTAAGAAAGTGAAAGTCCATAATTATAACTTAAGAGAGGCATGTCACCCCACTACATCACAAATTAAAATTGGGAAACTCTGTGTGTGTGTGTGTGTGTGGAATGAGAAGCTGGCAAAGTGATTAGAAACAATGGTTCAGGGACGTTACTCTCTTCTGTTTTTGAGGTATGTAGGTTCAGCAGTTGGCCCTTGATCAAGAACTGGCATATAAACTAAATTGGGGAAAGTGTGTATTTGAACTCCACAGTTATGCTTAGGCTTCTTCTGCAATACAGGTGGTTTCTCTTGAACCTTTGGCCGTAGAAGTGACATGTACATTTTTTTATCTTCATCAGTAACTTTGGTTAGCGGATGTAGCAACCCCTCCAGAAGCTCCTTCTCTTCTTCGTCTGATAAATTGCTGGCCACAAAAAGAGGACAGAAAGTTGTATTTATATGTAATTTTAAAGAAAAAAACACAGGCTTTGCGCAAAATCAAACAAAGCTAGGTATGAAAAACGAGTTTCAAGACAAAACCCTAGCTCTATCATGCAATGGATGAACACTAAAGTTGAGACACGCAATAAATTACAATTTTATTAGATAGTGATACAACAAACGTAGATTTTGTGCAAAATCAAACAAAGTTTGGTAAGAAATAAAACAAAGTTTGGTAAGAAATCAAACAAAATAATCAAGCTACATACAAATCGAAACAAGATAATGGATGAACGCAGAGAAGAACAAATAGCAGAGATCTAAGAAAAAATGAAGTCGATCGAAAATCAAGGCCGAAACGAAATAGAATTTTCAATTGGAAAAAGAAAGCCGGATCGATTACCGGGACCGAGGCCCGCTTTCCAGGGTCGGAGGCATACACTTCCGCTTCGCACCAGAAACATTCACCATGCCTTCAGATAGATTGGAAATCATTAGAGAATGGCTTTTACAAGGGATGAGAGGAGTTATAGAACTTGAATCGCATGATTGGAGGATGGTAACAAAAGTTAATCTTATCTTAATCGTAGGGTTGGGTGTATTTAATCAATACTGTAGAAAAGTCCGTGTGTATTCATTTGATATTTTAAAATATCATTTAAAATCTCTAGGTATTCAATGAAGATTTTTAAAAATCTTTGTAAATCTAATAGTATTGAAAAATGATAGATTTTGAAGGATTGTTAAAAAAATATGGATCGTGAAGGAATTTATGCTTGAAGTATAAATAGAAATTTTGTTTTCAAATCCAACCAAAACCTACGGATTTACGGATTTTGTGTGGACTCCAACCTGCCGAACTTTCTTCTCCTCTTCCTACACGGGTCTTCGTCTTCTCCGACAATCCCCTCCCTCAATCCTGTCTTTTTTTTGGAAGATCTAAGGCGTTCCGGCAGCCAAGGGCGGGGGGAGGAGTGGAATTCGCCGATTGGGTCATGTTTGGGAGCCGCAAGACGGCGACGAAAATCGTTGAGATGGGTACCAGTTTGTTCGCGTTGGCGTCGAGTATTGACCGCGTCGTCGTCTCGAATCTTGCGGCGATGGCTGTCGCGCTGTCCCCCGATTGGACGGTGTAGGTGACTAATAAGTTCCGCAAGTCCGTGGTGTTTTTTGGTGGTATTTAAGTTGTTTTCATTATGTGTTTGTATGTTTCTTGAACATTTAGCAGTGCTTATTTTACCATGCTTATTTGCACTGCAACCACTGCTTATTTGATTACTCCGTATTTCATTTTGCAGTGCTTATTTGATTTTTTCTTGATTCTAATAATATGCATTTATTAAAAAATGGGATGTTTGATTCAATATGGATAAACAAAAAAGATGAACAAACATAGATCAGGAAATCTATCTAAATCAACATTCAAATCTCCTGATTCTCCTCAAGTATATAAAATTCCATGTAAATCAATAAAAGAGTATGCCAAACTCTACATGGAATCAATGGAATTTCTAAATCCACGGACTTAAAGTCCAAAAAAATCCTACAAACTCTTAATTGAATACACCCCTTTAAATCTTTCTATATACAATGGTAATGGTAAGATGATTTTAGGAACAGTATTCCTGCCCATTTGTTAAGCTACAGTAGCCGCTAGATTTGGACCGCACATTGGATAAAAAATATCTGGTGAAGATTCCTGCATACTCATGTGATAAGAGAAAGAGTATGAGAGAAGCTAAGCCGCTGGGTATTTCCGTGAGATCCGGCTACCTTCCTTCATTTTTAGTCACTAAACTTCAATTAAAGTATATAGAAATGTTCTCCAAGGTTCATAGATCATTTTGGTAACATTAGTTCATAGTTTTAACAACAATTTCATGGTTTATGATTCTTGATTCTTCACGTATGTCAAACACAAAACTCAACCAAATGACCATTTATGAACGTAGAAACGACTTATATGAACATTCTAGTCATTAGATATATCTACGGGCTTACCTCGAAACGTAATGGTGGTTTTGAAGATTTTCTGGCAAAAATTCCGGCGACTATATCTCTCTACTCCAGCGACCTCTCACAAAGCTAACAATACTAGTGTGTTCTCCTCACTCAGACCATCAGGATAGGAGGAAGTATTGTGTAATTTGGTGAAGAAATGAAGAAGATGGGTTGTCCTTAAATAGCCCACTGAAGAAGAAGAAGACACATGTTTGGGTTGCTTCCGTGATTGAGCGGTGATTCGGATTTTGGAATCGGCGTAAGTGAACAAGACGCCGTTTGGTATGTAGTCCCTGATTGGGACTAATATTTGGTCCTACACTTTTTGGTCCAACTTTCTCTTAATTGAATTCCGTTTGCACCGTTGTGATCAGACAGTCAAATTCTATTCAATGGTGTAATTTTATATTTATTTGTAATACTTTTTCCGACATCATATTTTTGGGTGGTTGACTTTGACCGAGTCAAAATTCATATAATTGACTTTTATTCAATATTTAATTCATATCATTTATTTCCATGATATATGTCAATAAATCATTTCAAAGTTTTACATTATAAACAATTTCTTCATTAATTCTTAATTTGGGTCTGTACTTAGGTTCCCAATCAATATCACACAATAAGTCAACATGTTGGATTTATATATTGGATATCAAAATACATTTTATTTCGGCCCAAAGCCCAACAACAATTTATTTTAATCAAAAGAAATTTGACTAATTAAATATTTATTCATTAAAAATTTTAGGGTATGTTTTGGGGTGTTACAAGTCTTCCTGGTTGAATCTTAAATCAAAACCAATAAGCTTTATGGATGAGTTTTATCGGTTAGTCTAAAGAAATTGCAAAAAAAATAAACATTAAAACTCATCCATGAAGGTTAGTGGTTTTCGAATTTGGGTTCCACTAGTTAGACAAACAATTAAGAGAAGAGTGATGATTTTGGTTTTGGGTTCAAAGCTTCAAACTCAGCAACGGGTTTGGAAAAAGGGTACGGGGGCCGGGGGGAGGAAGATTAATTGAGGAGAGAAAGGAGTGTGAATTTACAATTTTGTCCACGTTCTTGACGGAAATGTTTACAAAAAACCATTCGTTAGGGGTGAGCATGGTACGGTATTTGGCTTGTACCGATACCGTACCAAATATTTTAGTTCGGTATGGGATTTTACTCCGTACCGATCCCGATCCCGAAATATCGGTTCGGTATGGTTCGAGATGGTTCGGTATCGGTTTCGGTACAAATCGGGATTAATATATATACCTAGTTTACACGTTAAAATTTAACAATACCCTTTTATTTTTGAAAATTAAAAGTGAATTTAAATAAAAAATATGAAAAATTAAAAAAATGAATATTTAAGTGCAAAAGATGAGTATCAAAACTTAGTTTATATTTCACAAACTTAAAAAATGAATGACAACAAAGGAGTATTTCGAATCTTTGTGAATACTTTTATGTTCATACTCAAATAAAAGTATAATTTACACATCATAGAACTTGAACCAAATTTTTTTTAAAAAATTATTATTTAGTGAAGGAATATAAAAATATTACTCCGGGGCATTATTTTTATAATATTTTAGTATATATGTTCGGTGCGGGATTTTTGTTAGAATAATAGACCAACGCTAGAGGGGGGGTGAATAGCGTTTGATCAATAAATCGCAGGAATAAAAATGAATAAGCGAGAAGTAAAGAGAAAAGAAAGAGGCACACCGATTTTACCCTGATTCACCACAACTTGTGGCTAATCCAGCCTCCCGAGAGACTCTCTCGAGCTACACTACTATCTCGTTAAGCTTAACGGTGCTTAACAAACCCGTACAACTTGAGAATTCGAGTCACAAGAACCTCAACGAACCTTCGAAGGAAACAACCCTTCCTTCGAACAACAAGAGAAATACCTTCTCTTGTCAAGTGTCTAAGAACACTAAAATCACTCAAGAACAATACTCTCTTTTTAGAGTGGATATTGAGTAAACTAAGAACGCTCAAGAACACAACACAAGCTTCACAAAAAATGGCTCTCAAAAGCTATGAAAAATTGAAGAATGGCTTGCAATGAAAGAGTAGGAGTTGTGAAGTAATGTGATATATAAAACAGACCCAAACACCCCATTTTATAGAGGAAAAATAGGCTCCAACGGACCAAAACATTTAAGTGGTGATTGGCACAATTTGTGGGATTTGATTAAAATTGGATCTGCTGAAATTCACCTAGACAGCGCTGTCCTAGACTTGGACATCGCTGTTCTAGGCTTGGTTTTTGAAAATTGGGAAGCAACGGTCATGCCAACAGCGATGTCCAAAAACACCTACATCGCTGTTTTGGCTGTTGACTTCCAAACAAGGAAAGTTTTAGCCTTAAATTCCTTCCAACGGTCAGGTCCCTACATCGATGTCTATAACTTAAACATCGCTGTTTAGGTCTGACTTTTGAAGATGGAAGTTTGGCCTGACAGCGCTGTTCCTGGGTCAACATCGCTGTCCAAAAACTTTCTGCTAATGCACTATGTTTTTGGCTTAGGTTGGACAGCGATGTAGGGGAGCCTACATCGCTGTTCCAGAAGTTTCTGGAAATCCAACCTTGGCTCAACAGCGATGTCTAAAGTCCAACATCGTTGTTGGAAGACTTAACGCCAAATCATGTTTTTGCCTACCCAGGTCAGACAGCGCTGTTGATTACCTCAACATCGCTGTTGGGCTTGGTTTAGCCAGACCCATGGTTGGTTTAGTCACGCCGTTAGCCGATGTCAAAAACGCAAGTTCTCCAAAATAAAAACCAAGTTTAGAAAACATTTGTTTATTGCATTTTGCTAAGAAATCAAGTAAAACATCTTAAAAACCACGTCATTTAGTTGAAAACCACGACTAGCCAAGTTCGTGCCGTTTCGCATGGTTTTCACTAAACGACCAAAAACGGAGGGTGGTTTTTGAGGCATTTTTGTTGGAGAACTAATTAAATGTGCCCAGAAGTAAAAACCAGTCATAAAAAGTTGAAAGCCACTTGGTTGGTTTGGGCGCCAAAAACCATTGCCGAAATCCGAGAGCCGAACGCTGGTTTCAGAACACCGAACGCCGGATGGCTTGGTTTTTGGTCTGGGCGAACTCCAAGTGTTTTTGGATAGATTAAAACTTATGAAAAAATATTTTTGAGTTTGTAAAAAGTGTTTTTGATGAAATGAGCCTAGAGAGCCAAGTTTTGAAAGTTTGTGCCGGTCTTGATTACATTAAGACCGACTCAATACAAAACTAATTCTTCGTTCTTGATTCTGGATTCTTGGTTCTCAAAACATCATGTCATGTTCCTTCGCCTTGGTTTTTGTTCTCTTTAGCCTTGTTATGTCACGGCGGTTTGGCATTATCAAAACCTGTCATGAAAACGAACACAGTTTAGTACGTCGTAGGCGTAAACCCGTGTTCCAACATTTTCGGTATGGGCGGTCACCTCGTACCGTTCCCGAATACCGTACCGACCAGATCATTTGGTTCGGTATGGTTCTGTTTCTTCTCGGTACTTTTTCGGTTTGGTATTTTTCGGTTCGGTATTCTCGGTTTTTTCGGGAAATTTCGGTATCGGTTCGGTACTTGCTCACCCCTACCATTCGTGGAAATGAATATAATAATTGGGGACTAAATTAGTAATATTTGACATGTATGGACTAAATATGTAAAACGACTTATTACTGGAGGCTTTTTATGGAATTTACTCATGAATTTATGTTTAACTCAATATTGTATTCAAATTTGTGTTTTGACACTTATTTTATAGAAATCATCCTAAATAGGACTAAAACATAGAGAAAAGTACCAAAATAGGACTTTCATGTTTTTTTTCCCGGAATAGGACTTTGCATTGTAGTAATGTGACTTTGCATTGTGGTAATGTGGCAGTGTACATGTGCAAATTACTGTACTTTCTTGGTAATGTATATGACCATGTTTGGTAATGTAAGTCCTATTTCGGGAATAAAAACATGGAAGTCCTATTTTGGTATATCTTCAATGTTTTAGTCCTACTTTGGTCTTTCTCCCCTTATTTTATGAAATTTTATATTTAATATATTGCCATTAATTATTTTCCGTGCTCCACACAGGTATAGATCTAGTGTTTTCAGGGACGGAGGGAGTGCAGAGTATTATTTTTAAAAAAGTAGTGTCATTTTTGCCAAAACATAATACTTGAGTATCATTTTTGAGAAATGCTAAAATCACAAATTCTTTGATCACAAAATACACAATATTGTCATTTGTGTACCTCACCAAGTAAATTAAATAATGTTAAATAATTAAAAAGTAAGCATTTAAATACACAAATGGTAAAGTTGTGTATTTTGTGATCAAGGTGTTTGTGACTCTAACACTTCTCATCATTTTTAAACTTTTTAGAAATATAATAACGTCATTAAAAGAAAATATTCCCTCCGTTTTTGAGTAGTTGTCTACTTTTGACTTTTTTGCCACAATTGATAAACTTTGACTACAAATTAAATAAAAACGATATTACATATTTATACAAAAATAATTTTACTAGATTCATTTTATTAAATTATTTTCAAAATTTTACTTTATCTCATTAATATAAAATATATATTTTATTTGATTAAAAATCCTTTAATATAATATTTGAGAGTTGATAGCCTAGAATTCTGACACGTGGCAAGTAAGGGCTCTTATTTTGACGACACATCGGATTACACGCGTCTCATTATTGGCGAAGCTCTCCTTCGTCCTTCCAGTACCCGGCCCGTTCTTTCTCCCACGACTCCTTCGCGCAGAAAGAAGGAAAAATCTTGGAAATCTTCATGCTGAAAAGGAAACAAATTTTCTCGCTGCCTTGAGTTCTCGCTGCCTTGGGTCACCGATGGAAAGAAATCACAGGTACTCCGCTACGCCTTTCCATTTTCTTCTTTGCTACCCCAACTTTTCCTTAATTTTTACCCGAAATTAGGGTTCATATATGGCAATCTGCTTTCTTCAATTGATTGAAAGAATTAAAATCGTAATTCATTCCTAATTCATAATCGTATACCCTAATTAGATTTGAGAAATCATATACCTAATTTATATTCTATTAATAGATGTATTTTTTCTTCCTAAAATTCTATCTATATATACATTCTCCTCAAGAACAACCCAGAATTCCTGACTTACGCATACTATTTTCTGAGATTCTGAGATTCATATTCCTTTNACAACAAGAACACAAAGTATGACCTAGACCGGGTAAATCTCCTCAGTCCGAATTATATTTCTTACTCTGTCTCAAGAGTGTACTATTTTTAGTGAGAGAAAGAATTGATCCCCTCCTCTATCCAATATCATCATATTTATAGAGGAGGATTTGTGACCTTCCCCTGTTCATCCATGGACAAAATAGGAAGCCCGTGGGAAGGTCACTGTACATAATCGATCTACTATTCAATCAATGAATTTAGCAACTACAAGCCAAGACATGTACTGTTCAATCAAAGACTAAAATGGATATTCTCAATCCAATCAACCCTGCAAAATGACAAACATCCCTTTCACTGTGTGCCTCGTGATGGATGAGCGGCGGGGTGTCCCCTTGACCTCTGACGTGATTCACCATGCCTAAGAGACTGGACCAATGTTAGCCAAGTAAAGTGATATGACCGGTCACCTTCTCTGAAAGGTTACCCGGTCATTTCTTGCGCTCAACCCGTCTCTTTGGTCTTCTAGAATGTCCTTTGTAGAATAAGGTGATATTTTCGCTATCGCCCAAAATGTGACCGGTCATTTTTTTAGTGGAAGTGACCGGTCAACTTTTGACCCGTCCAAATCGAAGAGTTAACCTCATTTGGTGATTGATAAAAGTGACCGGTCATACTTTGACCTGTCTCTTTCGGTTGTCCGGGTCGGGTATAGGGATATGTGCTATTCACTCAATTATAATATTCATACTTTTCTTTAAATGTCTATAGTGTTAAAAAACATTAACTAAATTTTCATAAGTTCATTTACATGTAGTACATTGAAGATAAAAATTTACACAAACTACATAAATATTATGTTAATAACTTGAAATTACTCATTCAAAGAGCTTCATTGGTGGAGGAGTGGCTAAGGGTAGAGGGTGGCTGGCGGCGAGGGTATGTGGAGAGAATGGGGGTGGGTGGGGGAAATGAACTCAAGGAATTAGAGTAACTCAAAGATTGAACTTTTATCCTAAAAGTCATCATCTAAAAGGACGAAACCTTAAACATTGAAAAAAATTTAGAATTGAAAAAAGAGAGAAGGGATATAGATAGTGATTGTTGATTCATTTTCTAATCCAAAGATGTGAGAAACATTTCTAAGAGGGTCCCATTATTTTATCCACTTTTCTTATCATATTCTTTCCACAAAAAAAAAGAGAGCATTGAAGTATGCATTTTCTCACCTCCAATTTTACAGTCCTCTCTTTCAGAAGGGGAAAAAAAAGAAGAAAAAAGATGATAGAGGTATAGAAGGAATATGATATAGTCCAAAAAGATACGGAGTACGATATATACTGGTTAATCCCATCAGTAAGAGGGATATTCAAAGTCAACATTCGTAGTAATAAATACATTCAGCAATGAGGATGCACAATTTTTTAGTAACAAAAAACAAACATAGTACAAGTAGTACTTAACACTGGCATCCATTGGTTCAGCAGACATGATGAACGAGAGAATGGTAACATTTTAAGTAAGCCGCCTCCTTCTACGTAAAATGGGTCCCTCATAGTGTGGATCTGCCCTTCGATGAATTTGTTGACAGCATGAGGAATCCCTTTCCCCTTGCAATATCGGCAGTCATCACATGTAGTCTTGATACCTGCAAACAATCCAAACGATAGTACGAAGACAACAATGTTCTGTTACGTGGTGATCTATATAGGCTAAGAACGAACAATGTTTAGAAGTTCTCACGATTGGTAACACTCTGGAAGTGATATTTATGAAGCTCGTATTGGTAAAATTCAGCAAAGAAGAGCTCTGGAACAGAAGAAGTTTCGGTCGCAGCTTTGAAAGCGCAATGAGCCCATATATTGTATGCAGGAAGAAGAAACCCATTGCAGTTGATGGCTTCCACAAGCTTATAGTTTGTCGCCTGCAAGAGAGCCAAGAAACCATTTTTTTTAAAAAAAAAAAAAGCAGGAGGAAGAAAAAGATGGCACAATTTATAAAGACATAAGTTTCTCAAACGAGCATGTGGTACATGTCTCCTGTTGTAGTTAGCGAGAGGAGCCAATGCCCATCGCAAGTTCAGGTTCCTGCGCAGTTCTTCTTGAGTGAACTTGTTTGTTCCAGTTTTCTCCTCCACAGGTTCTGGGTCATTGTGCCTGGACATCAAAACAAAGATCCATCTCCATATTTGGTTGCCATCCACAAAAGCATTACACACACCCAAAGAAGAAGAAGAAGGTTGCATAGTGAATGAATCTAATTCAGATTTTGACAAATTCATAGAATAAATGCTCATGTGAATATCAACTGCCAGTAACTGCATATGAACATTAAATCGCCCTTAACAGAAGATGGGCGGAGGGAGAAAATAATTCAGGAAGAGCATTAAAGCAATCGATGTTGAACTGATCAAGAACCAACCAATGTACATCTAAGCGTTCTCAAAGTTCAAAAGAAAAACTCATACTAATGGAATGGGGAGCATTTTGTGGGTGGGGTGGGTGCAAACTGCAAAGTGATGAGGACCAACAACTGGTTTGAGGGAGTTACTCGCATAGGCCATTTTCAAGTGTGCACATAAAACGATAGACATGTCATTGATGAAGAAAGGGAAAGCCATGAAAACATCATCACAGTTTGCACACCCTCCGGGCCAATGACCGAACCCAGTGGGTTGAGAAACTATACGGAAGCCAGACTTCTTCTTCTTCTTCTTCTTCTCAGGTTTCTCATGAAAGGGCTCTGGGCGTAGGAGGGACATGTACATTTTTTTATCTTCATCAGTAACTTTGGTGTGGGGATGTAGTAACCCCTCCAGAAGCTCCTTTTCTACTTCGCCTGGTAAATTTCTGGTCACGGAAAAGAGGACACAAAGTTATATTTATATGTATGTAATTTTGAAGCAAAAGGCATAGGCTTTGCGCGCAAA